AGTTGATTGATTGCTCCTTTCGCATTGTCTTCAATCTCTTCATTGTCTAATGTCATCACGTCCATTTGTTGATGTGCATCTCCAAATTGAACGTGCAACATCTCCATAATGGTATGAACTTCGCCAACTCTCTTGTTTAGCGATTCCCACATATCCTTAGACTTGCCTCATCCCTTGTTTGCACCTTGACGAATCTCCTCTGGTCCTCAGCTTTCTTCGTTCACCAGTAACATTCTTCTCCATCTCACCCGCCATACCTTCATTCAATTAATTCACTCTAATACCACTTGCCACGGACTTGACTCTACAAGCTCACCGCACGTCACTTAGTTCTCAAACTAAGTCAACCTAGCTCGAAACACCAACACAAGAACAAGGAAAGGAAGAAAGTAACTCATTACTCGAAAACTCTTTATTGCTCTAGAGAACTCAACTCAATTACAAAGTGAAGAGAAATGAAATGGAATAGCCTTATACATATACAAGAGACAATAACTATTAGGAACTAAGGGACATTTTATAGAATGTTTGTAGAAGATGTTTCTTCATCAGACTTCCATGAAGTTTGTAGATATCTTCTAGAATCTTTCTAGAAAAGACTATTCTAAAGGCAACTAAATTAATTCGAAAATTTTCTAAATAAAATGGGTTGTTACATTACGGCATCTTGATCCTAACACATCTCATTGTTAACTACATTTTGTTTTCCCATGGGAAAAAACCATTGGAATAATATATTTTTATAAAATTGATTACAAATACAGTAACATTAATTACTTCATCCATAGTTCTTTTTTTCCTTATTTGTATGTTATTTCATTAGTTGATGGAAGTAATAGTATATGCGGATAGAAAATCCGATAATGTTCTAGTTTTCATTACTGATAATTGTTATAGTTTTCAATACTATAAATTTATATAAAATATATCAAATTATATTATTAACTAATAACAAAAAAGTAAAAACCAAATAATTTCACATCCAGTTAAAAAGCAAAAAAATTAAATAAACAAATAAATAAAATATAATTTTTACCACAACCCGAATTGGCAGGCATCAACTATCTTGGCCCAAAATGTAACGTCCCATATGACACTTTTTAGAACACTTGGTTACAATTTGAAGTCTTTCTTTTTTTTTTTAAAAGAATTATAATGTTTTTTTTTATTTCGGCATAGTCTACTATACTTATGTTTATGGATTCCAATTTGTAAGTCATTTTTAGGATAACAAACATAAAAAGTTGTAGATAGTATCATCTCGTCGTTTCACATCAATCAATCCAAAAACCGACATAAGATATCAATCGCGGAACACTAACAATATTTTAGGTTGTTTAGGGTTTGAACTAAGGATGTCTTGTACTCTTATGTACTACGCTCTCATTACAAGGGCTAAAATGATCGGGTAGAAAACAAGCCTAAGAGCCAACTCAGATGGCTTGGGCTAAACGACACTACATGTGGACTAAGAAAAACGTTCTCAAATAATAGCAAACGAATGCCCAAAAATTGAAACATTTGATACTCTACCTTCAAGTGATAGATATTTGTTGTATTTACGATGTTTAAACTAAAAGGTTGACAAATATTTGTTGTATTATTTTTCCCATGTTTTAATTAAAAGCTTGAGTTTTGTTTATAAATCCTCTGGATTATCAATTTCCTATTAAAACATACAACAAGAAGGCCCCGTTTTCGAAATTACTTAAAACAAGGACCCATCAAATTCCTTAATGGGATTGGTGGTGGTGGCAGACAATAAAAGTCATCCGCCCCTCAACGCCCAAATTTGTTTACTCATATGCCGACACTTGCAAAATGCCAAATGATGGTTTAAACAACAATTATTTAATAAAGATGTTAATATGTTACAGTAAAACTTTTTAATGAAATGTAGACATTGGTAGTGATTGGGTGTCGACAAACATTGTGTATGTCAAAAATGCATTCACGATGGTGGTTTTTGGGCTGACCACTATGGTCAACTCCAGTCATTTCTACTTCTAGTAATTTGATCAGTTTATGGAGTAAATGACAACTCTAATCTTTTTATGTAGTAGTTAGTGTTTAAGGAACCTCTTATATGATAAAGTTGGTTTAGGAATCATGTCCTTAACATCATAATAAGTCTAAAACTATTGTTGTTTAAACCATCATTTGGCATTTTTTAAGTGTCGGCATATGAGTAAACAAATTTGGGCGTTGAGGGGCGGATGACTTTTATTGGGAAGCTAAAATTAGGATCAGGATTCATGGATTATTTTTTGTGCAATTCGTGAGTTTAAAACTTGTATTGTCGATTTATATTTCATGAAAATGTTGTTTTTAACATGAAGTAAAACAGTAACGGTTTTGTATATTTGCAATCAAAATAGATGAGATGGATATGAAATGCAAATTGCTGATGATATACACAAACAAAGAGGTTTGAGCCCATTTCTCAACTTTCAATGAAAAAGAACAAATACACATGTTATGACAGAATTCGTAAAATGAAAGGTTCTTCAACATCCAACAACAGGTTTGTAAAAATACCAACCACAATATTTGATTAATAAAAACTGACTCAAACGGATTACCACATACAATCTCGATAAAAAAAAAAGTTGAAAAGAGAAACACAATAAATATTTAAAAGAGAAAAACATAAATACAAGGGATAATTAAATACAAAATGTAGAATATAGGGATCAAGAAAAGCAAACCAAACAATTTTTTTATTGTTGTTCACCTCAATGTGAGGGTAGTCCAGTCCACATCACCGAAATCACTTTGACGACATATCTACTACATGAAGCTCTTTAATGGTAAAGCCCAAATCGTATGCACAAGTAGCTATGATATTAACTATGCCGAAATATGAGAAAATATCACATTGAAAATAGACAAAACTGCAAAAATAGTACCTGTTGCATGTATTTTTTCAGAAGAACGTTCAAACCACTCTCGTTTTTTTTGTGCCGCAAAAAGAAAAGCTGTGTTTTGGGAGATTATCCTTTTCAAGACCATTGTGACATTTATTTTATTGAACTCATGAATCAATCCATTCTATTGCTGTTGCCAAGTGCAAATCATTTGATACTCTCTTCAGTTAGTTTTCTTTAATTTTGTGTTTCATTTCCTTATTCACACATTGCAATCTGAAAAGTCATAACTTAATTTTGGGGGGAATGCATGTATACTTTTTTTTTTTTTTTGCAGAATTGGAAAATCAATTTCAAAGACTTTCACCTAGAGACTCATTTGTGAAGTTACCAAGTGTTGTAGTGCTTCTAAGTGAACCCTAAAAAAATGCTAACTTTTATGAACTTGTTCATCCGGTTGTTCTTTTTTATTTGAAGATGTACAATTGTTTTGTTGAAAGTCTATTATATATATCTTATCTAAATTGAAGTTGAAAAGATCAATAGCAACGCCATGTCAAATATCAGCTTGTTGATCTGTAGTCCATGCTTTGTATTGTGGTTACCATTTTCGTATTCAAGGCTTGACTGGATTATATACAAGTTATGATGGATGTTGCTTCCAAAATAAAGATTATGTTGTTCCTATTCATACATATTTACTCTCATGCAAAAAAGACAAATATATTTATGGGATAAAAGATTAAAACTAATTTATAAAGTTTGGATGGGAATGTATAATTTTTTGTTAGTGGTGTACAAGCTCTTAATGTCATGTTTGGGTGATAAGTTTGGACATGGGTATAAATGTTTGGACCTGAAATTCCAAAGCCACTTTTTACAAGATTTCAATCAATAAATGGAAAACAAAATGATTTAACTGGGTAGTTTTAGAAAAAATGAGATCGAAGTGTTAGTTTTGTGTAGTTTTTCCATACTACTGAAATGCAATGTTATATTTGGTAGGATTTTCAAAAAATAAAAGACTAAAGTGTAAAACTATATTTGGGTAGTTTTAAAAAAATTGAAATGTGATGCTATATTTGGATAGATTTAGAAAAATGAAAAACAATGTTATATCTAGATAGCTTTCGAAAAAAAACGAAGTGAATTTCTGGGAAGTTATAAAAAAAAAAAAGTAAGAGCAGGGCAATGCTATATTTGGGTAGTTTTTCAAAATAAAATGAAAATGCAATGCTACAATTCGGTGTTTTAATGAAAAAGGAAGTGCAATGCTCTACTTGGGTAGTTTTTAAAAAAAATAATAAACATAAAGATAAATGCAATAAAAAATGTCAAAGAATTTAGAAAAAAAAAAAAAGGAAAATCCAATGTTATTTTTGGGAAGTTTTAAAAAAACTAAAGTACAATGACATACTTGGTAGTTTTTCTAAAAAAATTTAATAACAATGTTATGTATAAGAAGTTTAATAATAAGAAATTTACAATAATATATTTGGGAAGATTTTCAAAAAAACTAATAGCACTGCTTTATTAATGTGGTTTAAAAAAATGGAAGTGCAATGCTATAGTTGCAAAGATTTTCAGAAAAAAAACAAAAACAAAAATGAAATGCTATAACTTGGTAGTTCCAAAAAAAAAATTTAGAGCTATATTTGGGCTGTTTAAATGAAAAAATTATAAATGCAATGTTATATCTAAGTATTTTCTTAAAAAAATGAAAAAACAATGCTGTATTTGGATAGTTTTTCAAAAAAATGAAAATACAATGTTGTACTTGATAAGATTTCTTTTAAAAAGAATTAAAAATGCAATGCTATTTATGAGACATTTAGAAAAATGATATGGCAATGATATATGTGGCTAGTTTTTAATAAATAAATAAATATATAAATAAACAAAAAAGATGCCAATCCTTTATCTAGTTTTTTTAATTTAAAATGCAATGCTATATTTAGGAAGAAATTTAAAACAATAAAATGCAAAGCTAAGGCGGTTAAAAAAATGAAAGTGCAAACTTATATTTGGTAGTTTCTAAAAAAAAAATAGAATGATATAGATTTTGAAAAAAAATAATGAAAGTGCAATGCTATATATTTGCAACGATTTCAAAAATGAAATAGCAATCAAATATCTAGGTAATGCTAAAAATAAAAAATTAAAAAAAAAAATAAAAAGTTCAAGTGCAATGATATATGTGGATAGTTTTTCAAAAAAAATAAATGATAATGCAATGCTGTATGTATATGCAATATATTACATATAAGTAGTTTTTCAAAAATTAAAAATACAATGCTATAATAGAGTAGGTTTAAAAAGAAAAAGAAAATGCAAAGTTATGCAATGTTATATCCAGGTGGTTTTAGAAAAAATGAATCCGCAATGCTTAATTGTGGGAAGATTTAAATAAAAAATGATAATTCAATTAAATGCTATATTTGGTTGATTTAAAAAAAATTAATTTGCAGTATTTATTTTGGAAAGTTTTTAAAGAAGAAAATGCATTTCTATATTTGGGAAGATATTCAAAAAAATGAAAAGAGAAAACAATGTTAAGAAAGTGAAATGCTATCTTTAAAAAGATTTTCAAAAATCAAGGAAAGTGCAATTTATATCTAGCAAGTTAAAAAAAAAAAAAGGAAAAGAAAATGCAATGCTACATCGGGGTAGTTTAAAAAATTTAAGAGTGCAATGCTTATATTTGAGTAGCTTTTAAAAAAAAATGAAAATGCAATGTTGATTCTATGTAGTTTTAATAAAATGAAAATGAAAACGTCAAATATCTATAATCGAGCAGCTTTAGCAAATTTATTGCTATTTTTTGGAAGATTTTCAAAAAATATATAAATTAAAATGTAATTCTATATTTTGTAGTATTAATAAATTGAATGTGGAATGCTATATTTCAGCAGTTTTAAAAATAAGATAAAAGTGCAATGCTACATTTGGGAAGAGTTTCAAAAAAAATGAAAGTGCAATGTTTTATTTGCGTAGTTTTAAAAAAATGAAAAAGGAATACTATATTTGTATAGCTTTTCAAAAAAACAGCAGTGCAAAACTAAACTTGAGAGTTTTAAAAAAAATGTTGAATCCAAAAAGTTTTAGAAGAAATGAAATTGCGATGCTATACTTGGGAAGATTTAAAAATAAAATAAAAATGCAATGCTATTTCTAGAAGTTTTAAAAAAAAATTAAGTGTTGAGAGCTATATTTGGGAAGATTTTCAACATTAAAAGAAAGGGCAATGCTATTATTGGGTTGATTTTAAAAAAATGAAAATCTATATAAAGGAAGTTTTAGAAAAATAGAAGTACAATGCTATATTTGGGTAGATTTTTTAAAAAAGAATGAAAATGTAATGATATATCTAGGTAGGTTTAAAAAAGGTTCAATGCCAAATTTGTGTAGTTTTAGTATAAACGAAAGTTCAATAGTATATTTGGAATGCTTTAAAAAAAATGAAAATATAATTGTCTTGATGGGTTGTTTTTAGAAAAGAATTAAAATCTAGTGCTATATTTGGGTTGATTTAAAAAAAAAATTTGAAAAAGCAATGGTATAATGACGTAGTTTTAAAAATGACAAAACTTCAAAAATGGTCGCTGTGGTTTTCAAAAATATCAAATTTAGTCTCTAAGTTCAAAAAACCTCACAGATTGTCCATGTGGTTTCAAAATTTTTAACATTTAGTCCTTTTCGCTAACTCCGTTAGCTTTTGGCCGTTAACTGACATTTCACAATCACAGGAACCATTTATGAAGTTTTCCATTATTTAATATATATATAATTATTAAATATTAAATGGGGTCTCACTCAAATTGGTTCATCAACCACGTCATCCTTCTTTGTAATCTTCTCCAACTCCTGTGCATCTCGTCAGATCCCAAATTGGTTGTCCCCTAATTTCATCTTGATCAATCAGTTGTGTTTAATCATCATCTCTTTACATCTGCACCAGATAACTCAAAGGCTGAAACTTAGATAAATCAAAGGCCCAAGATGATTGTCGACGTTTTCCTGTGTATTAAAACCAAGTAACACCAAACCTACATCAGACAATTTTACAATTTCAACATCATTAAGAAAAATGTGTATTTGAGAAACATAACTGATGAAGAAGATGAAGACCTTGTTGGTTTATTAGGTTTTAGGGTTCTCCAGATTTGGGTTAATGGGAAATCACTGATCAATAACCTACGTCCTCCAGAATGAATCGTTCACACACGATCGCCATATTGCTTTCGGATCCCTTGAACTGAACCGCTGCCACAACTTCAGCCTCCACCGCCAGAGCATGTTTCGAATCCTACTCCCACGTAAATGTTCATCATCAGCAAATTCATCACTACAATTATTGATTCATCAAATGTTCATCCCCCACAATCGAACATTATTTAGGGGTTTTAGCCATTTTTGGGAAATCTGGAGACCGTGATCAAGCTTTGGAGTACATCTAGACCTTACCAGTTGAAACCCACATCAGAAATTTGGGAAGCTGTTTCATGGAGATATAGATCTTGAAGATAGAGCTGAAGAGATATTAATCAGTCTTGATCCATTAAAGATTGACCCAGAAAAATTCCGACTCCACTTCCGAAGAAGATGCACGGGTAGCTAAAAGGAAAAACGGTCCAAGATTGATTATCTTCTTGAAATTTTCTGCCAAGGGTAAGAGATGGATACGTCGCAGGGAAATGGTGGGTAATGTGTGTGTTTCTTCAGGTTTACAAGAGAGAGAGAGAGAGGGGGGGACCCTTTAATATTAAATAATTAGTTTTTTTTAAATACGACAAATCTTCATAAATGGTCCCTATGGCAGTGAAATGACAAAAATACCCTTCACTTAACGGCCAGAAAGCTAACGGAGTGAGCCGGAAGGACCAAATGTAACCACAGGGACCGTCTGTGAGGTTTTTTTGAACTTAGGGACTAAACTTGATATTTTTGAAAACCACAGAGACCATTTTTTAAGTTTTGTCTTTAAAAATAAAATGGAAGTACAATGCTATATTAAGTAGATTGTCAAAAATAAAAATGAAATATATATATCTATGTAGCTTTTTAAAAAAAGATCAATGCCATACTTGTGTAGATTTCCATTTTCCAATATATAAAATTGGAAGTTCAATAACTTTTAAGAAAATGAAAATGCAATCCTATAAAGAAGTAGTTAAAAAACAGAATTACAATGCCATATTTGGGTAGATTTTCAAAAGAAAATGAAAATGCAAGGAAATATCATATATCTAGGTAGGTTAATAAAAAAGATAACTTACATATTTGGGTAAAATTTGGGTAGTTTTAAAAAAAAAAAAAAATGAAAGTTGAATACCATATTTGGTAAGAATGTAAGCTTTTTGTAGATTTTTTAAAAAAATGAAAATGCAAAGCTATATCTAGGAAATTTTAAAAAAAATGAAAGTGCAATGCTATATTTGATTGGTTTTTCACAAAATATGAGAATGGAATGATGTATCTAAAGAAGTTTTTAGTAAAAATGAAAATGCATGCTAAATTCAGGTAGTTTAAAAAAATACAATACCATATTCGGGAAGACTTTTAAAAAATTGAAAATGCAATAATGTATTTAGGTAGTTTTAAAAAAAGAAGGCAGAATGCAATATTCGGATAGTTTTTTAAAATAAATAAATGAAATTTGAAATTTTGTATCTGGGCTGTTATAAAAAAAATGAATATGTAATGCTCTATTGGGGCAGTTTTATAAAAAATGAAAATTTATTTATAAATAATGTATTTAGGTAGTTTTTTAAATAAAATAAAAATCTGCAATGCTATACTTGAGCAGTTTTTTTATAAATATATTAAAAAAATAATAATAATAAATAAATAATAAAAACTGAAAATGTAATGCTATATAAGTATATCCAGGTATTTCTTGAAAATATGAATGTCCAAGGCTTAATTTGAGTATTTTTAAAATAGAAAATGAAAAGATGTATCTGGGTAGTTTTTCAAAAAAATTGAAGGTGCATATGGGAAAAAAAAAATTTTAAAAACAAAATGTGAATTGCTATATTTAGGAAGTTTAAAAAAACGGATGTGCAATACTATATATGAGAAGATTTTCAAAAAAAACAGAAAGTGCAATGCTCTGGTTAGTTCTAAAATATATGTACTGCTATAATTAGGTAGTTTTTTATTAATATATATATATATATATATATATATATATATATATATATATATATATAGAAGAGTGCAATGCTACATTCGAGTAGTATTTAGAAAGTTAAAAATGCAATGCTAAATCTGGGTAGTTTTTATGAAAAGAAAAATGAAAGTGCAACGCTACATTTGTGTGGTTTTTCAGAAAAACTGAAAATGGAATGTAATATATCTGACAAATTTTATAAATATATATACGCAAAGCTATTTCTGGGTAGTTTTCAAAAAAAAAAAACACAACGCCATATTTTAGATATTTTATTGAAAATATATAAACGCAATGCTATATCTACGTAATTTTATGAAAAAATCAATGTGCATTCCTGTATATGGAAAAAATTTAAACAAAAAATGGATATGCAATGCCATATGTAGTTAGTTTTTAAAAAAACTAAAAACAATCCTATAGCTGAGTAATTTAAAGAAAATGAAACCTATTCAAATAGAATGTTTTAAAATAAAAATGCAACGTTATACCTGGGTAATTTTAAAAAAATGAAAGTGCAAAGGTATATTTTGGTAGTTTTTTAAAAATATAGAACTTCATATGCTATATTTGGTTAGATTTTCAAAAAAAAAAAAAAAAAAAAAAAAAAAAAAAAAACTCATGCAATGCCATATTAAATTATCTTTTCAAAAAATGAAATACAATGCTATATTTAGGAAAGTTTAATAAAAAATGAAAATAAAATGTTATATCCGGTAGTTATAAAAAAGTGCAAAGCTATATGAAATGCATATATGAGTAGTTTTTCAAAATAAAAAGAAAGCATAATGCTATATTTGGGTTGATTTTTAAAAAAATAAAATGCATGCTTTAAAGAGGTACTTTTTAATAAAAATGGAAGTACAATGCTATATTTGGATAGACGTTAAAAAATGAAAATGCAATGATACACCTTAATAGGTTTAAAAAAAGTTTTATGCCATAATTGGGTAAAAATTGGGTAGTTCTAATAAAATGGAAAATTCAATGTATTTAGGTAGTTTCTCAAAAAAGTGAAAATATAACTATGATTGGGTGGATTTTCAAATAACAAAAAAAAGTGTAAGACTATATCCTGGTAGTTTTCAAAAAAAAAAAAATGAAAGTTTCATACTATTATTGGGTAGTTTTTAAAAAATGAAAATGCAATAGTATATTTAAGAGGTTTTAAAAAAGGAAGTAAAATGCTATATTTTGGTAAATTTTTTTAAAAAAAATGATAATGCAATTCTATATCAAGTTAGTTTTAAAAAAAAATGGAAACTAAATGTTTTATTTGGTAGATTTTCAAAATAAAGAAATGAAAAAATGCAATGATATATCTACGAGGTTTTAAAAAAGAATTCATTGCTATAAAACTGAAAGTATACGGGTGTATTTAGGTAGATTTTCAAAAAATATGAAAGTGTAATGCTATAAATGTGTAGACTTTCATAAAATAAATGAAAATGCAATGATGTATCTGGGTGGTTTTTAAACAAAAAGTTTAATGCTATGTTTAGGTAGTTTTTCAAAAAATGAAAGTGCAATGCTATATTTGGGTAAAAATTCAAAAACAAATGAAAAAGCAATTCTACTTTTCGGAAGATTTGCATAAAAAACATAAAGATGCAATGATATATCTGAATAGTTTTAGAAAAAATGAAAGTGCAATGCTATTTTTCAAAATATTTTCAAAAACAAAATGTAAATTCATCGTAATAATTGTGTTGTTTTAAAATGATTGAAAGTTTAATGCTATATTTGGGTAGTTTTTCAAAAAAAAAAAAAATTTGAATGTGTAAGGCTATATTTGGGAATATTTAAAAATATGAAAATGCAATGCTATATCAGGGTAGTTTTTTTTATAATGAAACTGCAAAGCTATATTAAGATAGTTTTGGGGAAAAAAGTACAACGTTATATTTTGGGCAGTTTTTTAAAAAAACAAAAATGCAATCAAGAAATTTAGAAATATACTCATGTAACCAACCCGCTCCTCTACAAATAACCCCACACATTGTTGGATAAAAATCACCCAAATCCTACTTAAACATAAAATGAACATAACTAAAAACTTACCTTGTTACTGTGCATTGACAATTAATCTCCATATGACAGATATAGAAGCCCTTGAACCTAAAATAACATATCAACATCAACATAAATGTTAGACAGAAGCTAAATAGTATTGTAGTTGGAGATTACAATCAATACACAATTACATATAACATTAGTATCCAACTTTATCACTGTTAAGTGATCCAATTATTAGCATCCTACTTTTATCATTTTGATCAGGAAATCCGTTTACTAGCATCCTACTTTATTACCTAACCCTAAATCTCTTTTCATAACACTTCTTTAAAAAGAGGAAGTAAATGGTTTAGGGAAAACATACCATTGCATATTGTTTTAACATGAATCATTTAGACGCATAATAAATATATAACTTTTATTTTTCAAGTATTTAAACCTTGATTGCATAGTGAGTTTTGATCGAAAATTCACCAATACAAAAACATGAACCTAATAGTGCTAATATCTTGTTCATATCAGTTATGACACAGAATACCCCCAGTAATTACAAAAACATGATCCTTTAGCAACTGCAGTTCTTTTCCAGGCAACAGATCATGAAGTGTTGGAAGACAAAAATTAGGGTTAGCAATCAGTTGCTTTTATTCAGTTTTCCTATAGCAGAATACAGACAATTCATGGGGACTAACGTCCTAATATAAGTGTAATTGTTGAGAAAACTAATCTCCTTCTTTATTAACAGTTAACATGGTCAGGCCACGTGATTCCTCGTTGCTAAAAACAAAAACTACAAGTAACAAAACATTAAGGTGATCGTAATTCAAAATACGGCTTTCTTCTTTGAGAGTGAGATTACCGGTGAGTAAACTGGTGTGATCTGTAAAGGGATTGACAACTGCATTACATGTTGCCTGCAAAAAATACGAAATCAAGTGAATGAACTGAATTCGGCAAATAATCGATTGATTATCTTAAAACGTATCGTAAATTGAACGGTGGATAATGCGTTTATTCAAAATCATTGACAAGACGGTGTGATGAATGAAACAGAAAAGAGTTTTCATTGATGGATGAGCACCCGTAGAGCAAGTTGAAGACGGTGGAGATAATGTGTGAGGGCCAGTTAGACTGCGGTGTTCTTGGACGCTCGGTAGGATTCCAATTTTGACTCTATTCTCTCCGGTAATCGAGGTGGATGTAAGGGAGAGAAATCGAGGAATGTATCACCTTATTTGGATTGAGAACTGCTTAAAGTCCAGAACTATGGAATTGAAACAAATGGGAGAAGAAGGAAGAAAGAAACCCTAAAATAAATAGAAAGAAGAAGAGAAGGGCGGTGATGGTAGTATAAGGCGTTAGGGTTAAACTTCATCGTTTTTACGAGGGAAACTGTTCAGTTTCCAGAGAGATCAAAAGAAGAAAAGGGCGGTGACGGTATACGCTACGCGTGTGGCGGTGTGGATTCCGGACCTTCCAACGGAGCATTAACATCCGAACCGGCTAAAACCCAAATACCGACCCGTAAGGAAAAAAAATATTAATAATAATAATAACTAGCAAGGTACCCATGCTTCGCCTGAGACTGTGTGTGTATTTTTTTTGTATCATGCTGAAATGTGTCGATGTTTCATATGATTCACCTCCTTCAAATTCTTCCTATTATATCATCCTGTTTCAACTCTTGAATGGAATCATTAAGAATAATCTATTCCCAAAAGTGGAATTTAACTAAATTAATTTGGATAGAATCAAAATAGGATGAAATGGAATCATCGGGTGTATATTAATAATGGTTTTGCCATTTGTTTATATTTAATATTTTTTTTATTTGGTAATTAATTTTTTGTGTTCTTATAGAAAACTATGATTATTAATCCCTTAATAGAGAATGTTAATAAACGAAAAAATAAATGTGTCGGGTACATTCCCACAGAGAAGGTAGATAGGCCACAATTATATAAGGAGATGAAAATTAAATGTCACGATGATGGTTAACTAATGCTTAAACTTACCTATAAAATGATTACACCACGAAAATCGAAACAGATTCAAGATGAAATCAAAACACAAATTCTTGTGGAACACCCATTTGCGGATAATACCTTCAAATCCAAAATGAAACGCAAACATTCGGTTGAAGGTTAAACAAATCATCATAAATTGATTCCATGCCCTTTGTTTTTGCCTCTTGAGAAGCATCACCTTTTATTTCAGAGACCTCCACTGAAGAATCTCCCAACTAAGATTAAAAAAACAAAAACCACAAGACACAAAAAGAAGCTATGAGAAAAATAAAAAATCACCAATTACAAACCAGAAAGATGGATGACAGAAGTAGGTACATACTTTTTGTAGTGGATCGTTATCAGGCTCCACAATCTCACCTTCGAATTTAATATCATATTCTATTATCTCATCCTCTTCTTATTCATGTCCTTCAAAATCATCTTCATCCTCTTCTACCACATAAAGCTTCTGCAAGGTCAAAGTTGTTTAATCATCTAATAACCATTCGATACTTATACCAATTTTGAACTTCAAAGATAGCTGACTCATAGGGTATCAAATTAGTTGCTTACAAATAATTAGGTCATTCATACATATAATTTAGATTAATTTGCTTACAGATAATTAGGTAATTCATAAATATAATTTAGATTAATTATTTTAACAACGACGTTTACATGATTATATAGCATTTACCCCAAAAATGCTCCAATCATTCATATTCCTCATCAACAACTACAAACAATAAATAAATCATGAAAAAGAGGCACCGATTGCAACTAACTCTTGAAAGCAGATGATGGAAGTTTAGCTGAAATAAAAGAGTAAACATGTTTCACATACTGTAGTGGTGGTCTCTTTGTCGAACTGGGTATGGAACAAAGATGCAGTAGCGGCACAAGCGGTGATAGTGTTACCTGTTTAAAGCTTCACCGGAAAAGCAATTCTTAAAAAACCCAACACCTCAGGGACTTTGACTACTTAATTCTTAGTTGAATCCACGTTGGTCCGGACGGTGCCTAACCATATGGATTAAAGTAAGCCAATGAACAGGCGACGATGTCCAGGGGAGACAACGATTGGTGATGCAGTGGTCCGGTGAAGCAACGAAGAAGATAAATGTTCATCTAGTCTGAAATCAGCCCCACCAATTGAAAGAGTGAACCGAATAAGGGATATTTGTCTGGATGGAGAAAAATAAAAGAAAATTCGCCTGAGTTCCAAGCGGTGGTAGATCTTAAAATTTGCTAATGGTAATCGAAAATCATGAAAGATGTATTTGGATCGGGGAATGTTAAATCAGTGACATCAAGCTTATTCCTATTGGATTCTATTTTGCCCTTTTCAATTTCTTTTCTATTTTTCATATTGTTTGTTTTCAATTTATATTAACAAATAATTGAATGGTCCATCAATTATACCCCACCCCACCCAAATATTTTGAACTTTCAGGTAGGAAAGAGATACAATTGTCAGTCATCCACTACCACCGTCTCCGACCACCTATCGCAACCACTAAAACGACCTTCATTGATACCAATAAAACTCACACTCTCATTCTCTCTTCCCCCCTGTCACCTTCTTCACCCGACACCTTCCACACTCTCATTCTTCATTCGACCTCTATCACCTTTTCCAAATCAGAGCTCTTTGAAAAGCCTGTAAATCTATTTGATGGTTCAATAAGCACCGAAGAAGAAGGATGGGGGGTTTATAGATGGATGTAAATCTTTGTAAATCTGTAAATCTGTAAATTCGCCTGAGTTCCAAGCGGTGGTAGAACTTAAAATTTTCTAATGGTAATCGAAAATCATGAAAGATGTATTTGGATCGGGGAATGTTAAATCGGTGATAGCAAGCTTATTCCTATTGGATTCTATTTTGCCCTTTTCAATTTCTTTTCTATTTTTCTTATTATTTGTTTTCAATTTATATTAATAAATAATTGAATGGTCCATCAATTATACCCCACCCCACTCAACTATTTTGAACTTTCAGGTAGGAAAGAGATACAATTGTCTGCCATCCACTACCACCGTCTCTGACCACCTATCGCAACCACTAAAACGACCTTCATTGATACCAATAAAACTCACACACCTCTCACACTCCCATTCTCTCTTCCCCCTTGTCACCTTCTTCACCCGACACCTTCCACACTCTCATTCTTCATTTGACCTTCATCACCTTTTCCAAATCAGAGCACTTTGAAAGCCTGTAAATCTGTTTGATGGTTCAATAAACACCGAAGAAGATGGATGGAGGGTTTATAGATATGAGAAAAAAAGGTGTGGATCAAAAAAATAAAGACGATTTAGTGGGTCAAAGATGATGATGAGGTAGATTTGAGATGATATATTTGTTGTTGCAGTGTAGATCTACAACGATGGTGGTGCACAAATATGGTGAGTTTTTTGGGAGGGGTTAGTCGGCGGTCGGAAAAGAAAAGAAGCAGTGTTGCTTGTGTTGTCTTCATCGTCAGGGATGGTTTGGATTTCGGATGAATTGCAAAGGCATGTCGACGACAGCCTTGGTTGGTTAAGGTTTGGGTATTCGTTCGGGATTAGGTGGGAAAGAGGGAGACGGTGGCTTAGGATAGTGTCTTTAGTGGTTCGGAACACCGGTGATGTAGTGGTGGCGGAGCATTGTCGGGTACGTTGAGTTTTAGTGATTTCCGACAGAATAAAGGGTGGCACTGAAGATCTTGAAGGAAATGGAGAAAAAGAAGTTTAGAGTGAGAAAGTGTACCTGGAAGTAGCAAGTGTACCTGAATGATTATTGATGGGGTGGTAGGGTCCAATTCATTTTCTAGAAAAATTATAATTAATAAAAAAATAATAGATAAATTATAAAAACAGAAAAAAAAGGAAAAAGAAATAGAAGAAAATGTTATAGTCATTCTATGTTTGGAAGAGACGAAATGTGCAACTTTTAATATTATAAGGACGGTCCGAGTTAATTTTCGAAAATAGGGACTAAACGTACAATTTGACCCTTCAATTTGGGACGAATCGTGTAATTTACTATTTTCTTTCGTTAATAATGTGCGCGTGACGGTTAGTTTAATTTTGGTAACTAATTTCTAAACGGCGGTTAGTTTCAACATACATCCTTTTGTTTCCTTTCGGTATATATATATATATATATATATATATATATATATATATATATATATATATATATATATATAGTCCAGATTAATTTACCTTTTGTAACTCGTCAGAAATATTATAATTGAATTCTGTGTTAAATTGAAACCATTTCATTAAATGTTTCCTTTTAAAATAATATCAAAAAAAAATATGTTAAAAAATGGAAGTCATATATCGGATGTACAAAATATCCCTTTTTATATCGACGATATTTTTCAAAATTCAGAATTATATTTTTACACTTTTGTTGTAATAGTTTTCATGCTCTGATTAGTATTCATGCACTAGATTTGGCGGAATATTTTCTTTTCAATGGATAATGACTGGTTAGATGAATAATTATTTAATGAAAATATAGAATTAGAAATGTTAAAGGTGCCCAACGGACGTTTATTCTAACATCCATAAAATTCATGAAAATTAAAAACTTTTTCAAACATTCAAAATCCAATATTTATTACAAAATGTTTTCAAAATAGTGTCATATCAGAGTATCCCAGAAATCAAATCATAAAAATGCGAGGAGGTGCACGATCAAGCCTTCACATTCCCACGATTATCCGAAGTACCTGAAACGAAATCCAAAACTGTAAGTCCGAAGCTTAGTGAGTTCCCCCAAAATACCAACGCCATACAATCATAACCATATCATAGAAAATAAACAACATGCATGTAGAGTCTACAGTAAAACTAGATTGCCCTCACCGGGCCTGCAGTCTAACTGGCCCACTCTCAGAACCTTCAACATGTCTGGTCCGCCCACCCGGGTCTTCAACCTGTCTGGACCGTTCTCCTGGCCTTCGGCCTAACTAATATGCCCTAATGGGCCTGCAGTCTATCCGGTCCATCTTGGTTTTGTTGGCTCGACCCCATCCGACTCAATTTCACTCATGAACTTGTGTGGGAGGGTGATATTCAATGGGTCCAACTTCAATGATTGGATACACAACATTCGCATGGTTACCCGTTACGAGGACAAAGAGTATGTTCTCAACAAGGAGATGAAAGATGTCAGTGTGAACACTGCCACTCCCGAAGAGATTGTTGCCTACGAGGCTCATGAGCGAGATGCTACGAAGGTTTATTGCATCATGCTTGCAACAATGACTGTTGAACTCCAAAAGTCCTACGAGGACTACTATCTGTAAGAGATGCACCAAGATTTGATGGATAAGTACCATCAAAATGTCATGCAGGAACGGTATGAGATCATCGTTGTGATGATCACTACCAAAATGAAGGATAGAGAGTCCATCATGGCCCACTTGAAGAAAATGCAGAGATACGTGGATCGCTTGCTGAAGTTAAATCTTAACTTCGATGAGGAGCTGGCCATAGATATTATTCTACACTCCTTACCTCCTTGCTACGACTAGTTTCATATGACCTATCACATGAACAATGAAGATGTGAGTCTAAGCAAGCTTCAAGGCCTACTAAGGACTATTGAGAGTAGTCTAAAAGGCAAATATGTTGCATCCACTCCTGCTGTTGCTGCCCCTATTTTGGCTATTGGGCAAGGAAAGGGAAAGAAGAGGAAGGCTCCTTCAAAGAGCCACCACAAGGGAAAGTCCCAAGATGGTACCTCTTCTAGTGGAACCAAGGCGGGTCTTGATGTTCCCTCTTCAACCCCAAGGGATGCAGATTGCTTCTACTTCCACAACAAAGGGCATTGGAAACGAAGCTGCCCGAAGTACCTACAGGACATCAAGGATGGGAAAATAAAGCCCTCCTTCGCAGGTATTTATACTATTCATTCTAATAACTCATCACATGCTATGTCTTGGGTCCTCGATACAAGATATGGTTTTCACATTTGTTCTGATTTGCAGGGTCTAAGAAGAAGTAGGGATGTGGAGCATGGGAAGATAAACTTGATCATGGGGAATATGAAAGTGTCGTCTGTCACCAACATTGGAGTTTACTCTTCAGTGCCTAGTAGTGGATTAGGTTTAGCTTTGAATAATTGTTGCTATTCGTCAGAAATGACACAAAACATTATTTCTTTTCATGGTTTTTATAAACAAGGTTTTAGATTTTCATTTAATAATGAAACTGGTTCTATTAATGCTTTCTTTAATGGTGATTTAGATTTTGAAGCATTACCTTGTAATGGTATATATATGAAATTGTGATGGTTGTAAACAACTTAGGAAATGATGTGTTGCATATCGATTCTTCCAATGATTTGGACAAAGCATGCTTGTGGCATTGTCGTCTTTTACATGTCAACAAGAAGCACATAGCCCAACTCCAAAAGGATGGAGTGTTGGACTCATTCGACCTTAGGGACGATGACACGTACAAGTCTTGTTTACTTGGAAAGATGACCAAGTCACCCTTCACTGGTACTTGTGAAAGGGGTGAGAGTTTATTGGATCTCATACACACCGATGTATGTGGACCCTTTAGATCCACCACAAGGGATGCTAACTGCTTCTATGTGACTTTTACCGATGATTATAGCAGATACGAGTATATCTACTTAATCAAGCACAAGTCATAAGCCTTTGAAAAGTTCAAAGAGTTTAAGCAAGAAGTAGAGAATCAGTTGGGTAGGAAGATAAATATGCTATTATCCAACTGAGGTGGTGAGTATCTTAGTATCGAGTTCCATGACTACCTCAAGGAATACATAATTGTTTCGCAATTGACGCCACCTAGGACACCACAATTGAATGGTGTGGCTGAGAGGCGCAATCGAACCTTGTTGAACATGGTTCATTCCATGATGAGTTGAGCTTCATAGCCTATATCATTTTGGGGGTATGCCTTAGAAACTGCCATCCATATCCTTAATCTAGTCCCGACTAAGAAGATTGCCAAAACACCTCACGAGATGTAGGCATGGAAAGCTCCCTCGTTGGGACATATCAAGGTTTGGGGTTGCGAGGCTTTTGTAAGACGAGATATTCACGACAAACTCGAGCCTCATAGTGTGCGGTGTATTTACATCGGCTATCCACATAAGTCCT